ATATATTAAGATTTCCTAAAACAAATCAGAAAAATATTTTTAATATGATCATCTAAATGCAATAGGCTGAGGCGCTTGACTCGTTAATGCTCATTCTATAACAAAAGGGAAGTATTACTCACAGCATTTAAAATTTTTATGCATGCTATCTGGGAACATTTATTGTAGTTATTTTTCTTTTTGCCCCAAAACCCTCGTAAGGGAAGACAGATAGTTATTGTTACCCTTGGTTACTCAAGCAGCTCAGGTAGAGTGTTACCCTCTAAGCTAGAGACATCTTTTGATCAGTGGCGCATGTCTTCAAACGTTCATCCACAACTCCTCTTCTCCTCCCTCAGTTCTCCCTCTCGGGTGTCTTCTGTTGCTCTCAGAGGGGTTGTGTTTGCAGCAAAGTACCTCGACTCAATGGCAGATATGATGCCAAATATGAGACAACTCACCATGAGTCGGTGTTTAGAGGAAAGGAGGATCGAGAGACATTTTATTGTTGCCATGCTCAGGAGTTTCATTATATCCAAGGCTGGATTATAACCCCCACCCCCAAAAATATAATAAATAAAACAAACCTCACCAATGAATAATTCATGATTTGACACTCAGGGGGAGTGCAGTGGGTGGGACCATGGTTGCATGACTGTTTCTGTCTTGGCCTGTTTAATGAGTTCTTTAGTTCAACCCTGCAAATGCAGGAGAGATTTAGGAGAAATAGGAAAAAAGGTGTTTGTACAAAGCCTGGCAGAGAGAGGGGGCGAGAGAGAGACAGAGTAAAGGGTAGAGAATGTAAAGTCTCAAACATGGATCCATTTCAACCATGCATGTAAAAAGCTTGCTTTCTACTAAAACAATGGAACAAAGAAGGATGGGTGTGGCTTCGCTGTAAGCAAATGTGGAAATCCTTACTAAAAAAGCCCTGAACAGTGTATCTACTTTAAACATGAGTGAGACGTGTTTAAGACTGTAGGAAAGCTTATAAATAGCTGTGAATTTCTTAAAGATCGGTAAGTTGTCAGTTTGTGTTATTTTCATTCATAAAAAGAAACTGCTCTTCAGGGAAAAAACCAAAAACAGAAAACAAGATCAATCAGAGCAAAATTGCTGATGGGGAGATGAAAACTAAAGTGATGCATGCCACAGAGAAGCAAAGCGGTGCTAAGAGGTGGGAGGAGTCATTTTTTATTGATTCAGGCATTAATGTACATTATGTACAAATTGGTCGAGGGTGGCCCCTCATGCGCAGTCCAGTGCTGTGCCAACAAATGTAAGTATTTGTCTTGATATCCACTTGTGGGCAAATAGGAGCTTGAATATATGATCCAAATCTATTTTGTTTGGCCATTTTACCTCCCGTTACATGCTCTATAGTCATTTTTTTTTGTTACTTTTATTTTCTTATTAAAATATGTACAAAAAGGGCATGCTGCAGGAAATATCTGTAAATCTTCCCCTGTCAGGAGTCCCACCCCTGCTTTTATTTATGACAGCTGAATCGTACACAGGAGGGTGTAAATAAAGAATGGAGAAAACCTATATTTCCCAAAGATGGCTCAGACTTTGACAGTTGACGATCTGTCAGCCTTTTCATACCAGTGGCTCAAGCACCATGAATCAGCGGGCTCAGGAGGATAAAACCCAAAGATACTTGTTCAGGACCATTAGGGGTTTGTGTTTCTCTATGCTGATGATACTTGTGTTTATTCCAATAATTTGATGTGCTATTGCAGAGCTCCATTCCAATGCAGACTCTTACCAAGGTCTGCACGCAGACAAAAGCAAACACACTTGACACACGCCCATACACAACCGTGTCCCTTTGTGGACCGTTGCCCTGCAACATTTATCTGATTGAGTTTGTTGAGCTCTGGTGAATGTGCACTCACACACACACACACGCAGGCACACCCCCCACACACACACATGTGTGCTCCTGCCAGTTGATGAGGATCAGATCACACACAAACTCGTCGCCACACCCATCCTCCTCTCCCACGGGACACAGCTGCTCCTCCAAGGCCGAGGATGGAGAGGAAATAAAAAAAACATGACTCTTACAACAAGAGGGAAGTGCTCTGTTTGTCTCCGTGAGCTCTGCTGCTCAGTCCGTCAAGGCTTTCTTTAGTTGTGATGATTGATGGTTTGTGGGTGGTAAAGTTAAGCTTTATTGCCTAGAAAGAACCCAGCCCTTGCAATTTGTCTTAAAATGCATGGCTTCTCTTTGAATTTAATCAGTAATAAACACCACCATTTGATTTCTGAATTTTATGCATGTGCTTCAACTTCCTTTTTATGAATATGCTTCATTTCTATTGATTTAGCTGTGAAAAGAATGCTTTCACCTCAGGTGGACTTGACATACTCGGCTCAGTTGTTTGTTGTGTGTGCTGCAGGATTTATAAGCCTATTTTCTTTTCAATGAGTTCATAGTTGTGTTTGCAGTGAGTGAAGACCCCTCCTCAGAGATACACTGTAACTGTATAATCCCAAGGTATATTAACTCTTGAATCATTTTCTGAGAGGCTTAACTGCTTGTGTTAACTTATTCTCCATAGTATAAAGTGTCAAGGATTAGACATTGATTGGAAGGATTTTGTTGTTTACAAAAATTTATTCATACAAATCTTACAACACTTTCATGACATTGAGAAACGTAAAAACCCCATATAAGGACTTGTGTGTATTTAATGATGCCACTTTGCACTGAGGTTAACTTCTAAAACACAATTGCTGAAATAGATAAGAGTTTAAACATTAAAGTAAGGCGTTGGGCGCTGTCAGAACTATCAACAACAGGCATTTTCTGAACATCTCAGTTATTTTGCTCTTTTTTTCATTTATTAAATATAGTGATGCAAAGAGTTGTGTGTATATATATATATATATATATATATATATATATATATATATATATATATATATATATATATATATGTGGGCTCTTTACTGATCATATAAGATACTGATCAATATCAAAATAATCAACAACACCTTATGTTCGACAATAACAAACACTGGTCATTGTTCACAAACTCTCACAGACAATGAGTAACCCAAACTCATGCACACACACGCGCGTTGCCTGTTCCACCAACATGTACATTCTATTCTTATGTTTTTTATACTAAAAAGAACTAATTGGCCATGCTGTAAAAACAAAAGCCTAATTTACTACTGTTGGGGCAGACTAAGCTAAGCAACTAAACAGAGAAAAGGACGTTTCAATGTAAGCTAATGGACTGCAGCATCGTAGGGCCACTAAATTGCCATCTGTCACTTGTGGCGAATTTTTTCTTTGTATTTTTTTTCTTCTTTTTTTAGTTTCTCACATCAAAGCAAGGCACAAAAGCCGAAAACTGTTTCCACCTCCATGTCTGTTTGGTCACTTACAATACACATACATGTGTGTTTGCTACACACATACATACATACACACACACACCAAGTCTGTTTTGTAGCCAAATTAGAGAACGAGCATGTTGTTATTTTTCATATGGGAAACACAGGCTGCTGATTATACTGCAAATATGCAAATAAAGCTACATTTGCATAACAGGGAATACAAACTTGAAATGTTCCCTTGTAAAAAAATAAAATAAAATCAGAGGGAGAATCATTTCTGCTGGAAGGGGTTCATTCAGCATTTTTCCTCAGCAGAAGAGGGGAAACATCTTACTCCGTGAAGGGAATTCAACAGCTGATATTCTGCTTAATCAGGCTTATTGACCCTGATGTCAATGAGGCAGAAGAGGTCCTCACGTCTTTTCTGTTTCCACACATCCTGCCTTCCCTGACTCTTTGGGTACTGCGTCCTGTTTTTTTTAATGCAACTTCTCTTGCTCTCTCCCATTCTTCTACACAGTCTTATCTCTTCATCTCACCCTAACACTCTCTTTTCTTCACTTCACAGTAGACATTCAACACAAATCAGCTTCTCTCTAACAGTTGAAACACAGCAGTAATTCAGCAAAGGCCATTTAGACTAAAACAATATATTTTTAAAAACTGCTACAATAAGACAAAAAGTAATCAGCTTGCTGATACATCCAGTGGGAGGGGTTAAAGATTCAACAAGTCAGTGCAGCTACCACCTCCAGCCCTGCTTGATCCCATTTTTTGTCACAATATAGCAGAGGGAAGGGATGCAGAAATGAGGTTGGCGCTGCCCTCTACACAATAGCAATAAAAGCACATAGGCATGCAGTCTTTAAGCGAGATATAACAAGGTGTTAGTTTCCACATCCACCAAATAAAAGGTAAATATTCTCCTTTCAGCAACTTGGACTCTGATGCTTCTTTGTGCTTAGTTTCCCATTTTGTCCCTGTGCTACCTCTGTGCTACCTGCATACAATCAGCAGTTCTCAACATTTCAACAATCAACATTTTTGTTTGCTCACAACACTGACAGGATCAAACATTCTTTGCACAGTCCTAGCGGATTTAACTCCTACTGCGAAATTACTTTGAGACACATAAGCAGGTTTCTCTCTAAAACCAGAGCTCCAGCAAAGGCGGTAATCCCCCAGAAAAGCCCACATGTGACTGCATATCCATATTTTCTACACAAACATGGTACATTTCTCCACCAGTAGCATTGATGGATTTGTAAATCATCGAAATATACATCAAATGAGAAGACGTCCAACAGAAGCAATCTCATTTTCTAGCTCTGGAGGGGCAGCAAAACGATCCAAACCCACAGAGCTCCCATTAAAGAAAAAATGGGAAGCATATATCTTTTATAAGCCTAGATACACCTCATATAGCATGCTCACTGCGTCTTTGGGCCTGCTTTTGAAAAAAAAAAAAAAAAAAAAAAAAAAAAAAAAACACTAAAAAAATAGACTACAAAAATAAGTAGTAACATTCAATACTTTGATTGTCTTTTGAAAATCTATTTATTTTCTGCATATAGGGATGATCTTTAGAGATTTCAAGCGCATAAACGTTGAAGGTGCACATCTATCTTTTTTTTTTCAGATTTCATCATCATTTATGTTTTTTGTCGTTTTGTTTTTTTTTTTTTCTATTCTTTTCAACATATCATCATGAAAAATAAAATATTGGTCCACAAAGTAGTTATAACTGTGCAGTCTCAAGTGCATTTGTACAAAAATGGAAAAGAAAAAAACGATATTATTAATAAAATATTGATTTTAATGGCTTTACTTCATACATAAATACATGTTGAAAGGACACAGGCGCAATCCACTGGTTGGTCAGATATATCTGAATGACTTTGAGTTAACATCTGGATGTATATACACAGGAGGCAGTTTTGGGCGCTTTTTCTTTTCTTTCTTTCTTGCTTTCTTTCTATCATTCTTTCTTTCTGTCTGTCTTTTTTCGCTTTCTTACTTTCATTCTCTCATTCTTTTTTCTTTCACTCACTCTTTCTTTATCGTGTTCTTTCTCTCAGCGGAGCTACAAATAGGCGAGCCGGCGTCCTTTGTTCCTAACTCTCTGTCTGTACCTTCTACCCAGAACTGCTGCCAGGTATTTTTGCACCGCCATCTGCTTTCTATAGCGGCTGTAACTGTCGGTGAAGATCCCATCTGAGTGTCTTTTGGACAGGGGCTCTGACTCTTCCTCCATGCTGTTTTCATCACTGGAAAACAATGAAAAAAGAAAAAAATATGAAAGGGAAAGAATCGTGATCAGATTCGTTAATTGAGCAAATTCAGGGTAAACGTCCATATGGAAATTAGTATGATTCTTGTTTTACATGTTGATGGTGATCATTTTGCCTTGATCCAAAGTTAGGCCTCATTTTTACTTTATTTAAATTTTTTTTTTCGTTCGAAAATTTTTTAAAAATGTTGGTAAAACCGACTAAAGGAAACTTATTTCCACATTAAAATAAAATAAAACGCAAACACAAAAATAACGAATCAATCATTCTGACGTATGATTTTTTTTCATTAGCGCTTAGGCTTATATACGTTGATATAGTCATTAATGACAGAATTATAAATCAATTGCAAAGGATTTTAGTACAAAACTCATCATTTTATAGATCTTTACATTATTTGCGCGTCCCAAAATAACATGCGCTATGCAATCAATACCTCTAGAGGGTTTTACGGAGAGGCAACACACAAAAAACAATTAAAAAAAATAAATAAATAACGCACATATAATGAGTGATGCAGCAGCCTGAAGTTGCGTGGCTCAGACATAAAAAAGAAACTTAAAAAAGAAACGCTGAAGAGAAATGCCCTTACCCTGCACGAACAGTCATCAGAGAATGCAGATAATGTCTTGCTGTTAACTGACCCAGGATCTCCCTCAAGGCTCTATCTAATTCTTCCTCAGCATGCCTTTCTGGTCTGAGATGATAAAACGCCAAAAAACACATAGATCATCAGAGACTTAAATAAAAAGAATAATGACAGAAATAATAATAAACTGAATTTAAAAAAAGGCGCAGACAAAATGATCAAAGCCATATTAAATGTCCCCACCCATGGGCATGAGGTTAAAAAAAATAATAACAGAAACAGTTTAAAATGAAGTACAATATATATTAAAAGCCTGATTATGCTGTCCCTCCATCAACAGAATGAAAACAGCAATTTGCGACTACCTGATGTGGAAACAGATGGACATATTACACTGGGGGGGTTCGGAGCTGCGGTAAGTCTTCAGCTGGGATTTACCTTTTTTCTGGCGGGTAGTAAAGGCTGTACGAGTCGTCGCTTAGGGATGAGGGGCTTCGTATAGAAAGCTGATCGCTGTCAAAACCCATGTCGGACAGAGAATTGCCATCCTCGTCGAACGCGTCGTTTTCAAGTCTGCAACGTGCAAAGCATTAATCAGGAATCCGATGCATAAAAAAATAAACGTGTCTTTAACTTTCAGGTACACCTATTCTTACAAGGTAAAGCCATAAAAGATGAATATATATTACCTATAACACCTTCAAATATATACATTTGTTCCAATAAAGCATTTTCTTTGCGGTAGATTTTTTTTTAATCCACACATGCTCCTCATTAATTATTAAGAAATCCAAACAATGGGAGTGAAAAAATACGCCTATAGGCTGTAAGAGTGTAGGCGGTGGAGCCTGAGATGGGGGGAAAAAATCTATTAAAAGACAGCTTAAAAATAGCTGCGAAATATCTGAATCTAGGAGGACCACGCCCAAATGAAATCTGAATATGGTTTTAGAAAAAATAAAGAGGGTAAAAAAACAAATCTTAAACGGGTAGAGCTCCCCGATTCATTTTTGCCTCGCCTCTCTTTGGTGACGCCAGTCCATCGTCATCCCAAGGGCTATCCGGCGCACTGACTGGTCTCTCATTTTTAATAAGGGGGAGTTATGTGAGCCGTCCCACAGGACTGATTCATGTACGCAATTTCCATAGGCATTTTCCACACAACACCTGCGTTTGTGCGTTTTGGGGAAATTATTGCTTATCCATATTTTTTTTTTCTTTTCAAGATCACCGCCTTAATATTGCGCCTATTTTTATACACGTGTCTGAAATACAAAGATAAAAAGATAGGTACATAAAAAAGACATCAAAATGTTGATGATTAAGTCGAAGAAGTTGAAATATTAAAAAAGGATAAGGAACCAACCTACCTGATCTTAGGGTAACTTAGTCCTATAGGTGTGCAGAAGACGCTGTAGTGCATTAGAATTCCGTAGATGAGCAAGATTAAAGTGGCTTTACTCGAACTGGCCATACTGTTGGTAAAACAAAGACACAAAACATTTAAATCTCTTTGCAATAGAAGATAGTCGTTTCTATATCATTTGATGTATTTGACAAATAGAAAGAGGTTTCTGTCGTTTTTTTTTTTAATATGTAAAGTGAGCAAACATAATTCTCCCTTAGTAGCTTTTGTTTTTCCAACCTTTCTGGCAAAGGTTTAAGATGCAGATCTACTCAGAACATGATTCTCATTAGTGAAAAAAGGCGCACATACCTAGAGCCGGAAAGCAGGTGTACCGCTGAGCTGTATAGGCTGTGATCCGGGCGCGGCTGTGTTGTTTGTGCGTGTCTGAGAGTTTGAGACACAGTGTTTCTTCCTCACAGCACTTCTTTCCTGGCTCAAGCGCCTCCGTCAGGTATCCTTATGATGCTTCCCCCCCTCCTCAATACAGCCCGTCTGACTTTTAGACACAGTGAAATGAAAGAGACTCACTCTGATCGCAAACTAAATCGGATCTGCGCTGGGTGTTCATCTACATAGCGCAGCTCCAAACTTTTGTCCTGTGCTGCTGATTGCCGTGGATTTTTATCTGCGCATTGTAAGCCTTGGCCCCCTCCTTCCTCCTCCTCTTCCTCCTCCCTTAGCCAAGTCACATTAAGGATGCTATGGACGTCATCAAGTCTTCCTCCCGGAATAATGGTACAGTTTCTTCCTCATCGATGCATCCATCAGACTCCCTCCCTCCCCCGACAGATGGAAGTTTACTTGAAAACTTCTAGCTTTTTGTAAACGTTGTGAAAGTATGCGTAAAAATCATCAGATGTGATGACTACCTTTTCAAGGTATTTTTTTTCTCTGTTCTTTCTTTTTTCGTTCACGTAGCAAATTAATATATAATCACCATGCGTGAAACGGCTTTTTTTTTTCTTTTTTTTCTTTTTTTTGCTGTAGCTACTGGTGGTTTCATGTTGCTGTGGTTAGAGGTGGCCTCCAGGGACCGCGTGCGCTGTCCAGTGCTGAAATGAATCGGCTCAAATTGCGGCGCTTCCAAACTTTTGATGCGCATTGTATAATCATTTCCAGCAATTCCTCATTCGGTAACGAATGGCGTGGCATTAATGGCCACGCAGCAGAGGCAAGGGGTCTCTCGGACCTTTAGAATTAAAGAGGGACTGAATATAAACACGGATTGACTCCGAATAGTGTTTCAGATACATGACACCTTATGCTGATTTTATTCATATACTTAAAGCTATTTTAAGTGACGATATAATGAAATGGAAAGTGATTGCTGGATTTCAATGTTTAAGATAAAAAAAAACTGTTTCCGGAATCCATTGTTACAAATGTATCATTTTAATTTTTGTTGTTTGCAAGTTAGGCCTACAATAAATCTGACATCTTTATCACTTTAAAAATGTTGGAAGTGTGCAAAGACCCTGCTCTAGTAAATATGCAAATAATTATATCTAACCTTGTTTTGTATTTTAAAAGCATCCGATAATCCATTACAATTTGAAAATCAGAGTTGCATAACCTTTGATTTAGTCAGGTTTTAAGGGGCCTCTAGAAGCTTCCTAATATATATTGTATTCTAATGTTTCCGGCCTCTGTTGGTCAATGAGATTTTTTTCCTGAATCCCAAAGTTGAGTTTGGTCAAGTGTCCCCTAAGATGATTTTATTAGAAACTCTTCTACGTATCTTTTCCATATTGTGTTGGTATTCCTGTACTTCTTGTGATCGTCAAAGGTGGAGCATTTTAAATGAAGAGGCTTTTTACACTTTGAACGAAACGATTTACATAGAACTTGAGATCATAGATCACACACCTTGGTTTGAGTGATTACTAAAGATGTAGGCCCCTTGTAAAAAACTGAAACAGTTGGAAACATAACCTATGTTTGACTTCTGCTCTTAAGGGCCCTGTTGGTTTTGGGGATCTAAGCAGGTCTTTGGTTTATTCATATTTCTATCTGCTGCTAGACCAAGCCTTATAAATGCTCGTTTTAGTTATTAAACTTGTTTTCAAAGGTTTAGACACGTCTTCGGGGACTAAACAGGGCACAAGATTGGTAAGTCACGTAAGCAACACCTGAAAAAAAAAAAAAAAAACCAAAAAACAGTAATATAAATATGTGTGTGTGTGTGTGTGTGTGTGTGTGTGTGTGTGTGTGTATATGTGTGTGTGTGGGGGGTGGTATCTTTAGTACTTTAAGTAGTTAAGATATGATAATTGCTTGTCAAGGAATATATCCATGCCTCCTAGCTCAGTACCTCCATTTCCTGAACGTACCTCACGGTTTGGAGACCAAGAGCCAAACCCCATCACATTCTAGCAGATATACATATCCCCTCTTATCTGGAAATGCCTTTACTCAAAAAGTTAAGGCTGAAAATGGTCACTGCAGGGATGTCTGGATTGTCCTTCTGAACCTGTTAGCGCCATTATCCGATCTTTGATGGGGGTGGGGGTGACAGATAGTGATTGAAAACTGACACTTGAAAATGTGTTTGGTTGAATGTTAATCCCCTTATATCAAAAAATGAGCCCTTAACTGTCATAATAGCTTATATGCAGGAACAGCATCATAAAACTGTCAATATCTGGTTGTAGTGTAACTCTGTTTAAAGAAGTGTAAATTGTCCCCGATATTGTTACCTCTTTGAATACTTTCTGGTATCGCCTCTGTTTCATTTACATTGACCACTTATTTCATGAAAGTTAAACCTTAGGATTACGGGTTATTGGCTTATATTAAAGTTGGGAATTTTAGACTGCCGAGTTTAAGGTATGAATTCCTTTATAAAAACCTGACTAATCATATAGACGTCTCGTTATGTGGGGGTCGTCCTGGTCCCCGATGGGAGCTTTAGCAGATCTTTTCATTTGATTGAATCACACCTCAAGCTTACCAATAACCTGAGGAGTTTGCCAATGTGGAGAGAGGCGCACGTCAGCGTTTTGTTTAGGCTGACGCAGTATGACGAAGAGAGCCAGTCACTGCCGGGAGGGGCCTTTTTTCTTTTTTTCTACAGGACGCGAGAACTGTGAGACGTTCAACTTAAAGCCCATATGGTTGGACTGGAGCAGACTGCTAATATTAGGCCTGCTTGCTCCAGTTGGTGGATATGCGAATCAGTACCTTGAGCAAATGGCGCCATCATGAGTAAAAGAGGTGAATTAAAATGGAAAATTGTCCGTCTAAGCTGTCTGTCTAAGCTGTCATATCATGACGCACTGAATATACTATATACATCCCATGTACTTCTTTCTTCTTTTGGCATCTTCTTCTCCCTATTCTTCTCCTTCGACTATTTGAGCTGATGTAACGAATAAATTTCTCCACTGTGAGATCAATAAAGTCAATTAATCAATTAATCAATCAAGTCCGTCCATCTATTTATCTATACATCTGAAAAATGTGGCTTGCATAGTTTACTCAGCTAGTGTGAACAGAATCCATTGTTGGCAAATGTTGTCAGAGTTCCCCTTATTATTTAATAGAGTCCATCAAGATAATCAATATAACTTTACCTCCCTATAAACCCAGCTCTATTCTAATGGCCTCAGGAGAACAGCTCCCTACCTGTGAACACAGCACTGTTTAGCCTGTCTATTGGTCTATCTGGAGAGAGTATGGCACAACTACCTTCCTGTCCTTACCATTAAACACTGTCCACCTTAACCAACAGGCCGGGAGAATAGGTTATAAATAAGCAGCCAAATGCAGGTGGTAGCTCTGGAATAGCTGTAGGGATACAAAATAAAAATGGGAACATTGGCAGACAAGAAAATGATTATGCGCACAGGAAATCTGGCCCTTGTGAATTGCAAGTTGAAAACCAACATAGTATCAAGAAGACATGTTTACAGTTTTGCAAAAGCTTTGTAGAATATATTAGTCAGTTAAGGCCAAAATGTAATTGTAATGTGAAATGCATGTTACCCTGAACACATCATCCCTGTTGTGGACATGGATGTAGCAGCATAATAGGGTTGGGAATGTTTTCCTATAAGAAAGCTGTTTAGATCTAATGGAAAGATGGAGGGAGTGAAATATATTAGATTTAAAAGAAAACCTGTTCAGAGCTGCAAAGGGCTTCAGACTGGGGCAAGGAATTATCTTTGAATATAAAGCCAGAATAACACCAGGGTTTAAAAAAAAGGGGGGGATGGTAAAATCTTTGAATGTTGTACAGATAAAAACAAAAACTTACAATTTTTATTTTTTGAGTTTGACTTTAATAACAGTCTATAATTGTATTAAATACAAATGAATGTAAATCTGAAATGATTTCATGATATTAGCAATACATAAAGAAGATTAATAATACTAATTAGAAATACTGGTGACTTTAAAAAGACTGAATGTTCTGTTTAGCTTGAGGCCAATTTCCCTTTTCCAATGTGTTGTTTGCAACAGATCATAATACATACATACTGACAAAAAAGTGTGTCTGTGAAAGCAACAGTATCTTCTGTGTATGATAGTTTAAAGGATTTAGAGTATACAATACTTTGCACACTGTCCAGTCAGCGTCAGTAGAGGTCAGCAAATCCCCGTGGAAACCCTTTAAAGTCTAACATACTGCAAACATATGCATCCATATCTAGAGGGATTTTTGTTTTTCAATATGAATATTGTTTTTTTGTTTTTGTTTTTTTCTTCTAAAAAAATCCTCTCCACCACACTTTCAGCTGGGATACAAACAATGCAAAATACTCAGATAAATGTGAAAATTAAAGACGATCATCATTTCTCTTTACAGACATTATGGCACAAGAAATGTAGAAATGAAACGTAGAATCGTATAGCCAGATGTAAAATCACAGGGTTTTTTTTTTATTGCAAAACAACTGTTGATGGCGCCCTTTCACTTTCCCATCTTAAGTGGGTTCAAAGGTTAAGCACAGAAAAAAAACAGTTCAGTTTAGTTTTAGTACAACGTTTTAACATAAAATGTATGCATACACATTTTGCTTGAATATATAAATGTTAGTGGAGGTGTTCATGTCGCTCAGAGTCATATTAGAGATCTATTGCTGTGATGTCGGCCATATTAGAAACAGATTTCAGAAGGATTCAATGTGAGCTTCAAGTGCTGTCGGAAATAAAATTACCTGAGACTTATTTTCACTGAAATATAGCACATCAAACAAGCAGAGGTAAAAAAAACAAAAAAACAAAAAGCAAACAAACAAAAAACAACAACACCAACACTAATCTTCAAATTGAGTTTGTGAAATAAAAGGTGGCTTTTTTATGGGGTTTTTTTGTTACGAAAGAGGGACATGTCTTGTTATGAGCTGCACACACTCGTAATACATTTACAAGTTCCTTAAGAGGAGCAGTTACATAATCATGCACTAATCAGTCAACAGTTCTCTGTCATACTGCGGACAAAGGTCACAAGGTGATCATTAGTAAAACAGAAAAAATATATAAACAGAAAATTCTAATGAAAGTCAGCAATGTGCATCTTATTAAACGTTGTTTTGTTGAAAACAGTGGAATAATTATTCATAAATGTGTAAGAGTACACAAAGCATACTTTAATTAGGAAATAACATTTCCTGAATGAAAGATGTTTAAAAAGTATGAGGAAGCAGAAGGATAAAAAGATCAAATAAGTAAATATTTCTGCCTTTTAATTTAGACGTACAACTGAAAGGGAGTTTTTTTTGAGAAACTAATGTTTTTATAGCAGCATCACATAAAGTAAAATGTTAAAACAAATTACAATTCCTTTGATGAAAATAAGAAATATTACAATGAAAATGCACCATCAGGATGCTAAAGTGCTCCCCTTTACCTAGAGAGGGATGTAAAAAGGAGAAACTGTTGGGGCGTTATCCTTAAATAAATGCTGCTTTATACTCAACTCAACTCAAACTTTATTTATAGAGCACATTTTAAAGAACCAGGGTTGACCAAAGTGCTGTACAGGAATCACAGTTGCAGAGCATAATATAAAAACTAAAAGCTAAAATACATAAACGCAATGCAAACAAAAAAAATTGAAAGGAGATCAAATATAATAGGATAAATGTTTCATACATTTAAAAAAAAAAAAAAAAATGTTGCTAAACGGCCACTTAGACTTGATTAAAAGCTAGGGAGAAGAAGTGTGCTTTTAGAGAGGATTTAAAAAAAAACTATAAACGAGATGGGAAAGAAAACAAAATCAGAAAGACACTGCTCATTTTAAATTACTTATATATATATATATATATATATATATATATATATATATATATATATATATATATATATATATATATATATATATATATATATATAATTAGTTCATGGAACCTGTATGTTCCGACTATAATCTCTGCCCGAGAACGCAGCATGATTCCTTCTTTGGCCTCATCGCCTCTCCTCTCCACTAGTCCTGCTATTGTGTGTCTTTCTGGGCGACCCTCACCTCCCATCCACCGGTTATTCCCGCATTGAACCCCGCATTTAACCGACACAACAACAGCTGTGCGTGACCGAGCTCAGCCTCCCCATTGTAAAGGGAAACAGGATCTCAGTGAAGGACTTCTTAGTTGATCCGCATGGGACAGACGGAAGACTGAGATTCCACGTTCATAGAGCTGGTCTCGGGTAGTTTCTTCTTATCCCACGGGAAATAAAACGCGTTGCGTGGGAGGACGGAAAGCAAGAAGGGGAAAGAAAAAAAAAACGACCACAGAACGCATGTAGCCGACGCACCACGCGGCTAAGGTTGGTTTTAAGGTAAGAAACGCTTCCCTTAAAGTCACGTTTAGCGGTGGAGTGGGCTGAGCAGGGCCTCCACCCGGTGAAAGTTGGAGGAGGAAGGAAAAGGAGAGTTAACTTCGATATGTTACAATGTCTCCAAAGTCTGTTTGATGTTTGCTCGGTGTTTTGAACTCAAGTTTAAATACAATCAGGGGGTCAAACAACAATTATTTAAACAGCTGACACTAATGGAAGGTAAAAGCAGATTATTTAATGTTGAATGAGGTTAAGTTAAAATAAAGTTTGTTTGTTTTTTGCTTTAAAAAGTTGATGATCGCTTTTCTGTTTGCCTCACCCATTCCTCCCCCCCCCCTCAGCTGCTGCAGGCCTCAGCTGTTGGGAGGCCTTTCAAACAAAAACCCATGGGACTTTACAAAGCTTCTTTTTTCCTAAAGTTCTGTTGAGTTCTTGTTTTTGTTGTGAAGGTTACCCTCAGATATGCTGATTGGTGTCTCACTGTCTGTAATATTGCAAAAAACTGTTAATATGCCTATTAGGTCAGAATAATAGCTCCTATATTACACCAGTAGAGTGGACTGTTGTTTATCCTCAAACCAAATATGGATTGTTGTAAACTTTCAAGTATTTTTATTCATTTTTTTCCTTTGGTGGGATAAGTGTATAAAAATATGAGTTAGTTTCAACTGATCTCATCATCACAGTAAAATTTCAACATCATGTGTTCCAACCCTTGTGCTGCAGTAGTTATTATAGCTATTACTGGATGTCTGTTATAGTCCAGTGGCCCAGTAATCCTCATCCATGATAATCCCTCTCTGTCAGTACAGCCCCAGTTGGCCGGACAGTTGTATCTCTGCCACCTACATAAACACATGCACAAACAGCTGGACTGAGGACTGTTGGCGGAGGAGTGAGGAGCAGTAACAGGTGGCGTTGGCCGGTGTTCAGGGACCTTTGGCTTGAACTGGGGTTTCTGAGGATCCTCACACACTCATCGGGTGTCCTGCATCATCGTTGACTTTGTGGGATAAATGCTTGCTGTTTTTGTGCTAGAACGGAGAGGGTCTAAACCTTATGAGGACATCCTCACCTGCTGGAGGATTTAGCTCTTGGTCTTTAGCTTGAAAAAAATGGCATGCCCTCTTTTTTCTTTTGTTTTTATTATTCTCAGCCTTGCTCCAGCCTTTGACAGGCACAGCAGGTGGCCTCAAAAAGCATGAATGGCTTCGGAAGGAAGCCCCCCTCCCCCTTCCCCACTCCTCCTGTTTCCCCTCCCGCTGGCGGGTCTTTTCCAGTCACTATGATTGGCACCGGTTGGCAGCTCAGACTGAAGATGGGAAAGAATCATGGCATATAGAATAAGCTGGGCTGATTATTGAGAGCAAGGTTTTGTTTGGGTTGTGGGTTTGATGAGCTGCTATTTACCCCAGAGCCATTTCACAGACAAAGTTGCACAAAGTCTCATGGATTCTCTATAGTGACTGAGTAAATTTTTCATAACATTTTTAATAAAATGTGTTAATATCTAAAGCAGACTTTCTCAATTTTGGCCCTAGAGTTAAGATGTCCTGCATCTTTTAGATGCATGCTCTGCGTGGATGGGAGTGCTGGAGCGCATCTTGCAGCCTTACTTTTCTCTTTCCCAATCTCAGCCGGCGCAATCAAAACACAATCTTTTCAAGAAGGTTGACATAAAAAATGCTCTCCTTATTATCATCTGCCATGGTTGTTGTTTTTCTTCCCGCTTACATGTTTCAAGATGCAGAATATGGACCTTTGTTGAGTATTAATGGCGTTCAGGTCGGATGAATGCGAGCAGGTCGCATTTGAAAAGATCCGATATGTATCGGATTCAGAACCACAGAGCCAAGTAACCTGGGTTGCATCGGATCTGTGTTGTTCAGACTATTATAGAAAGATTAGATTCAGGTGGCATATATACAAAAAAAATGGATTTGTGTCTCTTCAGGCTGCTGTGTGAACGTAGCTTAGAAGATGCAGGACAGCAGACCCTCAGGGCCAAGATTGAGGAACCCTGGTCTAAAGTGTTTCACTGAAAACATGTCATCAATATAAAAAAATAATTAAGAGGGAGTTTTCATTCACTGCCCATTGAAGCTGTTTTCTTTGTTTCATTACCAAACCCCTTGATTTGTTTTTAATTTTTGGCTAAATTGCTGCCACCTACTAATTAAACAGCTGGTGCATTTGGTCTTTCCAAGTGGAATTTGTATGCCAAACGACGGAGGGAAAGAGTCTTTCTCATGGGATGATTTATTATGCCAAGTGTACATGTTTGGGCTCTACTCTAGACAATGAGAGAGTTGAACACAAGTTTTGCTGCAGTATAATTATTTTTTCACATTTGCAGCAGCTTCCTTGTTGGTACTGTGGTCTTCCTGTAAATAACACGTGTAAGCTATTTACTCAAATTAATTGGCATTTAGATATAATTATACATCTCTTTTCCGTGCTGCTTTTTTATGATAAACCTTATTACAGTCCCTTGCAATGAATTTCTCAGTTTTATTATATGATTAAGGGTGAGTCACCCCTTCTACTTTGATCCCTTGAAAAAATAAACCGACTTTAGAACTAAATCTAGTCTACCAGAGTGTAAACATCTCAATATAAATACAGCTGTTTTGTGAAGGCCTCAGAGGTTTAGTAAGGTTTAAAGGAATAGTACACCCTAAACATGATTAGCCTTCATTTTCTACTCACCCCCATGCTGAACAACACTCTGGAGTACTTTTTTGATATCTCAAATGCATCTGGAGATCTGGGAGGCTTCTTGCTGTCTGCTGACATTCAAATAATGGAGGTCTATGGCGCCCGAGGCAGAAAGGTCCATAAAAGTCCACAAAAAACGTGTCAATATTCCTCCATACTGCTCGTCCAATGTACTCGAAAGAAGTCATTTAAAATGTTTTTAGAGCATAAACAGTGGTGTATAGGATTTCCTGAAAGCGCGCACATGCGCGTTCACAACGCTACGGAAGCCGGCAGACCAAACCAGAAGAAAGTGCGCATTCAGCGTCTGCTCTGCCGATAATGCAAGCGTAGAAGAAGAAATGTGCTGTTTACCTGTGCAAAGAAAGAAACAACGAAAGAAAAATGTCTGAGGACTTCAGTGTTGAGGAAGAGCATGAGTTCTTTGCCGAGCTGAATGCGCTGGTTTGGTCTGCCGGCTTCCGTAGCGTCGTGAACGCGCATGTGCGCGCTTTCAGGAAATCCTATACACTACTATTTATGCTCTAAAAACATTCTAAATGCCTTCGTTTCGAGTAAATTCTGGATGCTACCCACTCAGGACACTTGGAATACATTGGACGAGCAGTATGGAGGAATATTGACACGTTTTTTGTGGACTTTTATGGACCTTTCTGTCTCGGGCACCATAGACCTCCATTATTTGAATGTCAGCAGACAGCAAGAAGCCTCCCAGATCTCCAGATGCATTTGAGATATCATAAAAGTACTCCAGAGTGTTGTTCAGCATGGGGGTGAGTAGAAAATGAAGGCTAATCATGTTTTGGGTGTACTATTCCTTTAAAGCAGGTTCTGATATATTCTGCATTTTTTAAAGTGACATTGTGTAACAAATTTGGCTTTGAATCAGCAAAGATCAAGTACTGCTTTGATAAATATATATTCTGTAAAGGTCTAAAGAAAAAAATGAAAGTGTTCTCATAGCTTAGAATTATTTGTTTATAAATAAATAGTGCACCCGGCGGGAGATGCCATGTTATGTCATCATATTAATCAGATTACTCTATTACTCGTCAGCCTTAAACACATTACCTGCATCTGGATGTGTTGTTGGTGGCCGAGAATTTTGAAAGGAGTAGAAATGACCAAGATCATTTTATCTTCCACTTTCTGTTGCTATGGAGGACCATTTGTATTCTTTGTCCAGTAAGAGGCGAGACAAACCAAAGAAAAATAAATAAATTAGAGATGACAAGAGTCTACAGTAGCCTGAAGTAGTTGGCTGAATGGGCGCTATTTCAGTGATAACTTAAGTTTGAGTTTTAATAGTTACAAACAGCATTGCATAAAGTGCATTATCCATCTTTGTCACCATTGAACAGTTTAAATAATCCTGTACCAGACTCTCAATTAATTAGTATTTCTGCTTTCGTATGCCTTTGCTCCAGCATTACATCTCTTGCAAATACTAGTGAGGCTTCATTTAAGAATGATTTGCGGCACGCTGTTGGACAGGGGTGACACAAGAAGAAATGTCTCCTAAGAGAGCGTAATCATATGGAATTTTTTTTTTATTTTTTTATTAAATAAAGCATTAATAGACAAATTATAAGCTGATTACTTGTTTCCATCCGTACTTTGGGTAGATTGAGATAGAGAATCAACACTGCAAAATGTCAAGTTGCAAATGCAGAATTATGCTATGTTCAGAGCGCACGCTGCAGAAGCAGCAAAAACATGTGTGCAGCTGAAGCATCTTTGCTGCTCTGGCTGCACGGCCGAAAAGTGGGTCTGATGTGTGTTGGGCGGGGCTACCCTAGCCTGTAACAATGGCAGCTATATTTGCTGTTATAAGTGGTTTAAAAGTAGTTTTAATCTGTTTTTTAGTGAGAAGGTCCACCTGAAAGCTTCATCTGTGCAGTCAGTTCATCCAGATTACATTCCTGCTTCAAGTATTATTTCGCTGTTGGAGCCGCTCAGACCCCCGTACAACGGCGTTGCTCTGTCCCTGGAAATCCTGTTCAATGGCAGCCTCTGCCCCGGTCGCCTCTTTGCGGTTTTCCAACACTGTTCGCGGCGGCTGGAAGGTGTTTTTCGACATCTGAAGTTAATTTAGGTGTTATTAAACTGTTTCAGGTGAATGATCATAGCGTTCTCCATCAGACAGCTGTGTCTGTCTCCCTGGCAGCTCCCAAATCAGCCTCTCTGATTGGTTGATGTGGCATGTCGAGCAGCAAAAGTTTAAATTTTCCAACTACAAAAGCTGCTGCTTCTGAAGCGCATCATGCGTTTCAGATGCTCAG